CAGGCGTTTCACGAGACGCATGAGCAGTAATCGCCCCTCGACGCGCCGATGGCTCCGGAGGCTGATGCCGACGCGTATGCGCCGCGGCCGACACGCGGGGCCGCGCAAGGCGACGGCGACGACGCCGCCGAGAACGCCCGGAGGCGGCGGGACGTGGCACAGCGCCTTGGCGGACGCGTCGGCGGTCGTCAGGACGTGCGTCAGCGGCGCGGCGTCGTCCATCGCATCATCATCTCGCGCGCGCGTTACTTCCCTATTATCCTCCTGCTTCTCCTCTGAACGACGCATTGAAGGATTTGCGGCGGCGTCCGCGCGCGTCGTCGTCGTCGTCTCCTCGCCCACCTCCGCGTCGTCGTCGTCGTCGTCGTCGTCGTCGTCTTCGAACCGATCGCGCGGTCGAAACGCCTTCACCTCCCACCGCGCGACGCGATCGTCGATCCCGGTGATGGACACGCCGCCGGTCGTCCGCACGGCCGCGATCAGCGCGTTCCCCGTGACCGCGTCTCGCGCGACGAGCCGAACCGGAGCGTCGTCGCGCGCCGCCCCGCGCGGGCCCCCACCACCCGGAACTCTCTCGCGTCGCGTCGACGCGTAATCCGCCTGCGAAAAGTCCGGGGACACGAGCGCGAGGCGTCCGCGCGCGACGGCGAGAAAACTCGCGCCTCCCTCGCGCCCTCCCGGCGGCCTGAACGCGGCGACGCACGTCATCGCCGGCGCCGCGAGCTTCACGATCGAGACGCGCTCGACGCCGCCGGACGCTCGAACGACCCACGACCGGTCGTGCGCGAGGACGAGCGCCGGCGCCTCCGCGCGCGCGTCGTCGGCGGAGAGCATCGTCAACGGCGCGTCGCATAGCTTTCTCGCGTGCGCGAGTCGCAGTATCTTGCCCGGACCCGGATTCGGACCCGGACGCGGCGCGTTTACGGCGACGCGATTCTGATCCTCCGAGGGGATCAGAATGCGCGTCTGGAGCGCCGCGGCGGCGTCTTTCACCGCCGCGGCGACGTCGACGCGCTGACGCTTCGCGACGGCTTCGCTCTCCGGCGGCGGCGCGCGAAACGCGAGCTCGAGCGGCGTCGGCGCGGCGGCGGTCGTCGCGTCGCCGCCGTCCGCTTCCTCGCCGACGACGACGACCGGGACGTCGCGACCGCGCGAGCGCGCGTCCGCGCTCGCGGCGTCGCGCAGAAGCCGCGGCGGCGGCGGACGCGGCAGCGGCGGCGGACGCGGGAGCGGATGCGCGTGATCCGGCGTCGGCGGCGTCGTCTCCACGCGCGCGCACTCGCCGCTCCGCGTCGTGAGGAGTATCGCGGGGCGGCCGGCGGCGTCGAACGAAGCGACGTGCACGGAGGAAGGGACGCCGTGGACGACGGGCGACGACGAGGACGCGTCGGTGTCGTCGTCGCCGCCGCCGCCGCGCGCGTTCAGCGCGAGCGATTCGCGCGCGACGATTCGCGAGTCCTTCCCGGTCGCCGCCGCCGCCGCCGCCGCCTCCTCCGCGGCGACGATCTCCACGGCGTGGCCGTACGTCCCCGCGACGACGACGCACAAGCTGCCGCTCTCGACGCGCGCCAGCCGCCGGTCGTCGTCGTCGAAGAGCGCGCGCGCGAGCGTCGGCGGCGGCAGGCACAGGCACGAAGGCTCGCGGTCGAAACGCGCCGTCGCCGCGCGGATCAACTTCGTCGCGCTCGCGCCCTCGCCTCGACGCAACACGACGACGGCGTTGTCGCTTCTCGGCAAGGACAGCGCGATTCTTCCGTGCGGCGCGACCGCGACCGCGCCTATCGGCCCGGCGTCGTTCCCGGGGTACCACGTGTGCAGACACACGCCGCCGCCGCACAGGCGCACGCGCGACGGCGTCGCCTGAATCACGTGTCGTTCCCCCGCGGAGCCCCCGCCGCCGCCGCCGCCGCCGTCGTCGGGTCCCGCCCACGCGCCACACGCGATCGTGCACTCGTTCGTGTCGAGGCCCGCGCCGTCAGGGGCTTCCTCGAACGAAACCATCGCGCCTGATGCGTTTGTTGAAGTAGCAGTAGTATTGGCGACGCCACACCCGCTGCGCACGACGAACACGCGCGTCGCCTGCGAGAAGGACAAGACAAGCATGCTCGACGACGACGGATCCCCCGCGTAACCCCCGCGTAACCCCCACATCGCGACGACGCCGTCGAAACCGCCCCCAGCGCTCGCGGTCGTCACCTCCGCGCTTACGCCGAGGTCTAAGCGCGTCAGCGCGTCGCCGGTCGCGAGCAAGAAGGACGAATCCGACGCGGTGGCCGCGGACGACGACGACGACGCGCGCGCCATCGATCGCACGGGGCCCGCGGAGGGCGTCGTCGAGAGGATCGGCCGCGCGAGGTCCCACGCGAGACCGCGCGCGTCCGTCGCGAACCGTTCGCGCGAGTACACCACTTTCGCGGCGTGGTCGCGCTGCTGCGCCTCGCCGATCGCCAGCGGCGGCGGCGGCGGCGGCGTTGCGATGACGACCGTGCCCCGAGCGCCAATCAACGCCAGCGCGACGCCGCCGGCGGCGTTCAGAGCGCGCGGCGCGTCCTTCGTCGGAAAAACCGACGCGTCTTCGCCGTCCTCGGCGGCGACGACGCCGCGCGACTGCGCCCACGCGAGAACCTTCTCCGCCGTGTACCGCTCCGTGGACGCGAAGAACGCGACGTCGCCGAGCACCGCGCGCGCGAGAGGCCCCGCGTACAGCGTCAACGACACGCGATACGTCGGGACGATTCCGACGGCGTCGTCGTACGCCCTCGGGGGGTAGCACTCCGTCTGCCGCGACGGTCGACGTTGTTTCGCGTCGTCGTCGTCGTCGTCGTCGTCAACGACAGCGCGCTCGACGACGTCGCGCGCGCGCGTCGACCACGCGTCCGCGTCGTAGTTCGCGTGCCGCTGGAGGTTGAAGAAGACGTCCACGTGCGTCGGACGCGCGACCGACGCGCGCGCGTCGAGCTCGGTCACCTCCTCCTCCTCCTCCGCGTCGTCGTCGTCGTCGTCGTCCTCGGGCGCGGGGTCGGGATGCTCCGCCGCGTCCGCAGGGTCCTCCGGCTGGCTCTCGTCGTCGATCGGCGCGGGGTGTTCCTCTTCGTCGCCCGCCGCGGCGTCCTCCTCCGGCACGTCCATCGCGTCGACGTCGTCGTCGGCGGCGGCGACGTCGTCGTCGTCGTGCGTCGTCGTCGCCGCCTCCGCCGTCGCCGTCGCCGTCGCGTGGTTCGCGAGCGACGCCCAGTTCGCGAGGAACGGATCCTCCGCCGGGGTCGTCGCCGTCCGCGCGACGCCTCCTCGGTCTCTGTTCGCCCCGCGCGGCGACCGCTTCGACACGAGCAGCGCGAGGCGAATATCGCCGTCGTCGCCCGCCGGGTCTTGGTCCGGGGCGATGAACGTCGCGTCGAGGACGACCGCGCCGTCGATCGGACGCAGCGGCACCCCGGACGAGGCGAACTCGGCACCCACATCGTCGGCACCCCCCCGCCTCCGCCGAAAAAACAGCTCCGCGCGCGTCGCGCACGTCGCCGCGACGCACCGCGCGCTCGCGTCGACGACGAGCTTCGCGAAGAACGGCGCGTCGGCGCCGACGTCGTACGCGGTCGCGTCGAAGTCGACGTCGTCGTTCTCGTCGTCGCGCTCGTCGTCGTTCGGGTCGTCGTCTTCGTCGCCGCCGCCGGAATCGTCGTTCGGGGCGTCGTCGTGCGTGAGCGCGAGCGCGGCGTCGTCCCTCGGCAGCCGCGGCGGCGGCGACCGCCGCGGCGGCAACCCCGGAGACGTCAAGTGGATCTGCCTCGCCGGCGCGAACCGCGCGAGCCGCGCGTCGTATCGAACGATGGACAGCTTCCCGGAGTCCGAGAGCGCGCACAGGAGGTCGCACGACGCCCGCGCGTTCGCGCCGACGCGCTCGCGGACTCCCGCGACGCCGCCGGCGCCGCTTCCTCGCAGCGTCCGGAGGTCGAGGAGCGTGCCGTAGAGCGGCTGCTGATGGACTTTTCGCCACCCTCCGATGCCGCTCGTCGCGTCGTCGTCGCCGCGGTCCGCGCGCTCGAACTTGTTCGCGTACAGCTGAAGCTGGTCGCGCTTCGCGACGACGACGTCGAGGAACTCCGGGCGGCGGAAGCGGCCGTCCACGACGTGCGTCACGACCGAGGACGACGCGAGCGGCGACACGACGAAGCGCGAGGCGGAGGCTAATTGCCGACTCGGAGACGGACGCAGCGCGTCCGCGCCGACGACGTCGCCCGAGGCGTCGTCGTCGTCGCCGCCGCGACGCGATATCGCCATCGCGCGCGTTCCAGTCGACGGCGCGACTCAGCGGCGTCTCGTCCGCGCGGTCGCTCGTCCCATTCTCGCGCGTCGCGCGTCTCGTTGTTATCTCGTGCGCCTCGGCCCGCACAGCACACTGCTGGATGGGCCGCGAAATTATTATGCGGACCCGGCCGTAGTACGCGAACGCGTACTCGGACGCGTACGAGCAAACAGTATGCGCAAACGGACAGCAGACGCGCGCTGTGATTGGCCGATGATGATTTGGTAAAACTTTTTCCCACCAGACCTTCGCTCGCGCACGCGCTTCGACGCCATTCCCGCACACACACCAGCACACAAAACACCATCCTACACATCTAAGATGGCGTCCATCGGGGATCCTCAGA